ATTTATTACTTAAACATCAATTGTAAATAATGCTTGTAATGGCCCTAAGCAAGGGAAGGTGGAGAGCAGAACTCTAATAAATGTTACACAAACACATTGATCCTTGCACTGAAATTGGTATGATGTCAAATCTTATTTTTGTTTTTAGTTTCATCCATCTTCAAAGAGTAATGCTATATAATACTGCAGATACTAAAACATACTTGTATGTAGCAGTACATTATATGCAGGGATGTCAAAAGGCCCGAGCAACTCGACGGCTCGTCAAAATAGGGCTCCTCGGCGGCTCGGGCTCGTAAAATCACGAGCCCGACACGAGCTGAACAGGCCTCACTGGGAGGCGAGCAGAGCGAAGCCGCTCGTGGGCGAGCCCACGAGTGGCTCGTTTGAACGAGCCCCCAAATAAAGTGACCAAAATGGTCACTCTGAAATTTATTTATTTTTTATTTTTTCCCCCTTCTATTATAAATACCCCTTAACCCCCCTTTATTTTTTTTCATATCAATTACTTAATCACTACTCCAACTCTCTCAACTCTCTTTTATTATATCAATTATCGAGTTTTTACTCTTTTGTACTGCAAAATATACAATATCAGTTCAATTTTTACAGTTTATTAGTTACAATTTCAATTCATCCAATTCTCAATTCTCACAATCTCACTACATTTATATTTTTCTAGTTATTATATTTGAATTTCATCATAAACAATCAAATAAATGGATCAACACTCATTTGTTGAGAGCTTATTGGATACGGGATGTGGGCTACATCATGGCGAATCGCCTAGGACGCCGCAAAGTCAATTTTCCAATGAATTTGTGGGTCTAAATGACATACTCATACGTGAAGATGTTCACATTCACGGTCAGGAAAACCACAATCCAATTGATTTGGATGATATTAACGTTCCCGAAGCGGAACATGAGGACGAAGTTGCGGAATTAAACATCCCAGATGCGAGGGGAAAGCAAAAGGCCAAAAAACAAGCAAAATGTTGGAATCACTTTAAGTTGATTTCAACGGAAAAAGTCGTAGTGGCCTTGTAGAATCTAAAACAGTATGTAATACTGCCAACAAAGATTGACATGACAAAAAGGAATTGGTACCACCCATCTCAGCTGTTACTACAAAGCATGTGCGACCAGACATGGACTTCTTCCAACTTGTCAAACACAATTGCAATTTGACAGTCCAGGCGCCGGTTCTACAACTTCAACCCTATCCATGTTCGTGAAAGAATATCTGTAACCGAGGTACGTTAGGGTAAGTCAAAACACTCTTCGTGCCGATACAATACAATATTTCAATAATTCAAAACAACAATTAATTATAGATTTACAACAATATGGGGGTATTATATCTTTAACTTTTGATATATGGGAAGAGGTTAATAAAAGAGCATATATAGCCGCAACCGCACACTATATAGACCCACTTTGGTGCATGCATAAGAAAATTATTATTTTTAGAATTATTAAGTATCCTCACAATGATAATAATATATATAATGTTATTATCAGTATTGTTAGAGAATATAATTGCGAGACTAAAATTCGATCTTTTACTTTTGATAATGCTAGTGTTAATAAGGTAGTCGTCGATAAATTGTGTAGGACACTTCAACCTGATTTTGGTAGGTATTTGTTTTATATTCGTTGTATGTGTCATATCTTGAATTAATTGTGCAAGATGGCTTAAAACATATAAAAGATAAACTTCAAAGGATTAGGAATGTATTAGTATATATTACGATCTCTCCTAATAGAAAACAAGCATTTGAAGATTTTTGTGTCGAACTAGGGGTGACGACTACTAAAACATTTGTTAACGACGTAGGCCATAGATAGAACTCTACTTACTTGCTATTAAAGTAATGTGAATGTTTCGAAAATTTAATAACTAACTTTTATAACAATAGACACGTTAGAAGTGATGACGATGGTATGTTAAATGAATCCGATTGAATTTTAGCTTTGAAAGTTAAACAATTTTTGACATCTTTTTATGAGACCACAAAAATTTTATCCAACGTTTATTATCCCACAAGCTGTATGGTGCTTGAACGCCTTTATATAATTGCAAGAACATTCCATAAATATAAAAATGATCCTACTTTTAGTGAAATTATAATTGCTATGGAATTAAAATTTAGAAAATATTGGGAAGAACTGCTTATATTATTTCCTTTAGCATGCGCAATGAACCCCCGATATAATATTTCGGGAACTAAATACGTAATTGATCAAATCAATAAAGCTTTAATACTTGATACACCTATTACCTATAAGAATTTAGAGCAAACATTATGTGAAATGTATGATTTATATGCGGAAAGAATAGGTGCAAATGTTAGTCGGTACCCTTTGCACCGACTCCTATTGAAATTGAAGAAGATGATGTCGAAATAATGAATTTATTTCAAGGCATTAATACATTTAGTTATGATGCAACTGCGATGTATTCATCTAGTGCCATGTCATCTACATTTGCATCTTATCAAACATCGGCCGAAACTAAAAATGTGATGCCTGCCGAATTAATTGATTACTTCAATCATAATATGCCAACAGACAGAACAATTAAAAAAGGTTCAGAAGAAGTAATTAAATTCTGACGAAAGTATGAAAAATGTTGGTCAATTGTTTCTGTAATTGCGAAAAATCTGCTGACACCTCCGGTTAGCACTGTTGCTTCGGAGTCTGCTTTTAGTGCAGGTAAAAGAGTTTTGACTGATATCAGAAGCCGACTGAAAGAAAATATTTTGGAAGCGTTAATGTGTATGAAGGATTGGCAAGACAAATACGCTGAAATTGCATGTCGTCAGGTAAGTGATATTTGATTTAATTATAGTAATCAAAATTTCTTTATTTTTTAATCGTTAAATTTAATTTTCTTTAAAAAATTGTACACGTTACAACAAGTTGTTCGTGTTCAATTTTTAACTCTGCCTACTTAAATTTAATGTAGCCGTCTCAAGCCCGGATAAAGGAGGGTTTATATTTTATCTACTTTAAAAAGAAATCAAAAAAAATATATTTTTTATAAATGTATTTCAAAAAATAATTCGTATTCATTATATAAATATTTCATACTTTATAAAAAAAATATTACAATATGATATAAATAAAAAATTGTCTTCATTAAATTATTTGTATTTTTTAACACTTTTTATTTTTTTTAAAAATGTTTTCTATTATTTCATTTATTTGTAAAACTCTTAAAAAAAATAAAAAATGGCTCAGCCCACGAGCTCGTGGGCCGTGAGGTTAAGGGCCAAGCCGAGCCATTGCCACCACTAATTATATGTCAAATAAATAGGTCTCATAGCACCACATTTAATTGAGCTTACATATTTATATCACATATGATGTTCTTTTAGTATCAAATGCGAAAACATTATTAATCTCCAAATGAGATTTGACATCATGTTATTGATATATTATTGATAGACTTTAGGCGTGGATAAAAGTCATGAAAATCATTGGATTAAACTAAAGAATTGATCGGATCAATGATGTAGACAAAACCTTGTTTTCACTTGGGTCTTGTGTGGATATGTGAGTAAATTTAATCAATGCTCACCCAACTTCAATTTATATTACTACTTGTTCACCGAACTATAAAATATAACTCATTGCTCACCCATCTATATAAACACTTACCCATCCATCACCCATTTAAACTCCGTCAACTTTAATTAACGGAATTTGCCACGTGTTTGATGAAAATTTAACGTGGCACGTAAAAGACATTAAATCCATCCAACTGGCTTAAAATTGCCACGCACCAAGTGACAACCCGTCATCAAGAATTTAAAGAAACCACTTTCTCCACCAAAAGAAAACATCTTTTTCTTGGACCTTTTCTTTATTCTCTGTGTCCCTTTCAAATTTTGAAACTTTTTAACAATTTAGATTATAATCCTTCTCGCTTCATCTTCACACGCTTGTCAAGTTCCTATATTTGTTTTAGGGCTCTAACTTTTGAGGATTCTTTGCCTCTCAATTTTCCATTTCTGGGCTTCGAGTCTCTAATCTAAATTGGGTATATGCCAACAATTCTTTGATGTTTATGCTTTAATTTTCTATCATGTACTGATATTTGCATACTTTGATTTAAGATTTTCATGGGTCCATAGTAATTCATCTTCTTCCCCAACTTGGAACCGTAGAAATTGCCCCCAAATTCCCGACTCTTGTGTCCTTGAATTTAAAAGTGGTTGTATAGCAACCTCTTGCTACGGCTGCTGCGGGGGCACTGGTGCGGAAGCTGCAGAGGTAGAGGCGGTTATGATTGACTCCCGTTTCGGTGAAGGAAGTAAAAATGATGATTTTTTTTAGTAACAGGTTGAATGTGATCTCTTCTTTGTGGGTTGTTAAGCGGGTTCGAAGAGTTATTATAACTCCCTATAAAGGCCTTCTGATTCTGCAAAAGTCACAACCAGTGTGAAGTAAATTAGAAGAAGGCACTTTAAAGGAGAAGATGCTTCACTCCATGTTGCTAATGTGTTCTGTCTTGGAGTAGTATTGTCAAGCTGCAAAAAGGAATACTCATGCATAAGTAAATGTTATTGTATTATTCAAATGAAATTGGAAATACCTTTAGAATGTTGGAATATGTTCAGCTGTCTATGTAATGAATCAATAAATGAATGGAATGGAATTTAATCCTTCATGTGTTTAAGGATTTATTCTTAATATGTTATTGTGTTTTTTATATGACAATTGTTGGTTTCTTGTTGATGGAGGTTGCTGGAATATGGTTGTGGTTGATGGATTAAAGGTGGTTGATGGTGGTTGGGATATATGGCTGTGGTTGTTGGTTTGTTAATGATTGATTTAAGTTAGAGCATCAGCTATCCATATGCAGCCTGATACATGTATCACAACTCTGATGCATCAGTTAAATGCAATGTGATGTAGCAGAGTTTTGAGACAGGACTGAATGGAAAAACTATATCATAGAACATATGACTGCATTATTCCCAATTGCTAGTGTGAAACAAAGAACATCTCAACAATGCAATCAACATCAAAAAAGCCTTCATTCATTCCACAATGAAAGCACAAACACTAAATTAAGCATTTGATTACAACCACGACTAGTTTGTTGCAAAATATGGCATAACTTTAAAGTACTAAAAAGAAATTATTGTTCTACTGATTCGCTGCATGGGTTGCTGCCCTCTCATTTGCATTTTCTTTGGATTGGGATATTTTCAATTCCCAAATAACCTCGCTTAGCAAGTGAAGGATCACTCCAATCATATTCTGTAGCATTTGCTACAACTAATCCAGGCGCTGGCATGAATTGAAACTCAGATGGTTGTGGTCGTGGTGGTTGAACTTCATTTCTTGAAGTCGTGTTCGATCTCCTAGGCACTAGCTTTGCCTATGCAAAAATGGAATAACCAAAATAAACAAAAAATAATCAGTTTTGTAAAACACAAAATATATTAGGGGCTTGTTTGAGCCACATTATTCCAAAAAAATACATTCTTAAACAATGATTTGACATCATTTCAACCACGTATTCTTCAATAAAATAATATTACACGCAGATCAAAAAAATTTCCTTATTTTTAACTACACATTTCCCATCAATGCACTATTCAAGAATGCATTATTACCAAAATAATGTGGCTCAAATACCCCCTAGGTTACCTTTAAGTTTTGGTCGTTACTTTGACTAGATTTTTCTTGAATTAGACGCTCCACATCATAAGCAAGGCAATCATAAAATAAACGAACACGTGAAATAATTATAATCATTCTGAGCAAACTAATAATTGTAAACAAACATATGAAATGTTTATAATTAAAATTATTTCAAAGAACACAAACCTCTTGTGGTGCATCAAGCCTCTGATGGTATCGCTTGTTGTGTCCCTTTCCTCCACAGACACTACAAGTCATAAGCACAAATCCCTGTTTCTTCATTTTTGCTTTTGAGCCTGAACGGGTGATGACATCTTCTTCCTGTTGTCTCCTTCTCTTCTTTTTTTACCCCTTTTGGGCACAAACCAACTGGGCGGTTTGATTGGTGGGGCATCACTTGAGGGCCATAGTTTTGAGCGATTTATAGGATGAATAATATTCTCATAGCAACTGAGGTAGGTATCAAATCTATAGCACTCATGAACGTACTTCCAAGGCTCATCATATCTGTCTACAATAGCGGCGACTGCACGAGCACAAGGAATTCCTGTCAAATCCCATCTTCTGCATGCACACGTCCTATTTGGCAGATCGACAATGTATTCTCCACTCGAACACTTCACGTAAGATTGTGCTCCCCCTGACCAATCCACCTCGAATCCCTCGGCCATTTCACTGCTCTTCAATAGTTTCCGTTATATTTTAGGGCATAAAGGTCCTACGGCTTTACTCATCTTATCCCTTCTTGATTGTATCATTTTCATGAATCTTACGTATATATCAATTAACATGGTCAATATGGACTTCTCCCTATCCCCCAACACCACATTATTGAATACCTCACAAAGATTATTCAGAACTATATCACTCTTCACCTTTGTCAAAAAGTGAGCTTTACTCCACTCACTAGAGTGCCTCTTCATTAACCAACCATGTGCAGCCTTGCTCACCTTCTCAATTTCATCCATCCAGAACTTCCAATTAGAAATTGTTGTTGACTTTGCAGCCCTCCACAAATAGTCCTTCAGAGTCAAACTCTTAAAATCAGCTCTAAAGAAATTGGTGTACATGTGTCTGACACAAAATCGATGTTCAACCTTTGGATATAAACCCTTTATCACATTTTGTAAATCTTTTTGTCTATCGGTCATAAAAGTCCACTCATTGCTATTCATAATTTTCAAATCTTCGCCAAGATGTCCAATAAACCACCTCCAAGTAGTAGCATTCTCTCTCTCCACTATAGCATACGCTACTGGATAAATACAGTCGTTCGCATCTAACACCACTGCCACGAGCATCTGACCTTCAAAAGTTCCTTTCAAGAAACAACCATCTAATCCTAAAAGCTGCCTACAACCTTCAAAGAAACCACGCTTGCAAGCTTCTAAACAAACATATATTCCATGAAACTTTTCAGCATTCATGGCAATGATACATGTAGAACCGGGATTGGTTCGCAATATTTCAACGGCAAAAGATCTAAGCAAGCCAAATTGATGTTGATCGGAACCCTCTATTAATATCCGAGCATATCTTCTAGCCCGCCAAGTAGTAACATCGCTGACTGTCAATTTCAAGTCATCCTTTACAACCTTCTTAATCAGTCTAGTCTTCCAATCAGGATCTACTTTAAAAGTCTCCAAATACCTCTCTGCTATATACCTAGCAGTACAATGCCTATTTGTTCTGTCCCTCATGCATCTGTGCTCTGAATTTTTAGATTTTATTTGCACGCAACCAAGCGCTTTATTCAAAGACGCCCAAATCCTAAATTTACAATTGTCTTTTTTGCATATAGCCTGTGCTCTCTCACCATCATTCGGCCGAAATTTAAAATTGTGCCTAGTTGCGACCCCATGGTTCCTAACAGCTTCTTTAAACTCCTCAATATTTTTGAACTCCTTTCCAACCTCTAACTGTGGGTTATACTTTTCCTTTTCAACGTCATAAAAAGGAAAGCTATAATTCTCCTCTTCACTAGAAGAATTATCAGTATGCAATTCTTCCTCACTAGGATAATAACCATCATCATTTTCTAGCTCCTCTATACCTGCAACCTCAAATTCAACCGTTGGGTCTGCATTAAATCCCACCACAACACGTTCAGGTGCATTCGTGTCAAATTGGAACCCATCATCATTAACCTCATCGTCTGAATCATTCAAATGACATTTGAGAGGTATCCATTCCTCTTCTTCAAAGGTCAGGTCTGCAATGAAACACGAGGTTAGGATTTTTCAAACACATCCGCACCACATATGCAAATAAAAATGCATAAATATGGTTCTAAACAACGAAATTATGGTCCCATAAAACAAAATTCAGATTCAAATTTTCAATGTACTTCCAAAGAAAAGAACATAAAAAAGACAAAACTAAAAAATTGTGATCCCATAAGAGAATATTAAAAATCCAATGAAAAGTTTAGTAAATTTACCATGTGGTGGTTCTTCTTCATCCATCACCAATATTGTTTCTTCCACAGTGATATTGCAATCCATACCAATGCTGGGGGATTTTCTTTTTTCAAATATTCTGATTTTTCAAATATTTCATACCAACTTTTGGTTACGTGAAATTGTTGTCAATTCTCTTGGCCACCATGTGGGCAATCTGTGGGAGGAATAGAATGGCAAAGACCATTAAACACAAACAATCTAAGATGAAATTCAAGGCCAGAGGAGTTGGGAATTTGGGAGCAATTTCTAGGGTTCCAAGTTGGGGAAGAATTCTTCTTCTTTTTTTCCCCTCTTTGAGGCTTCTTCAGAGAAAACGGGTTTTCACAATTTTAATCCCAGTTGCGCAGATTTAATGTCTTTTATGAGCCACGTCAAATTTCCATCCAACACGTGGCACATCCTGTTAATTGAAGTTGACGGAGTTTAAATGGGTGATGGATGGGTAAGTGTTTAGATAGATGGGCGAGCAATGGGTTATATTTTATAATTCGGTGAGCAAGTAGTAATATAAATTGAATTTGGGTGAGCATTGATTAAATTTACTCGTGGATATGTGGGAGGGGATGGTCTTAAGTTTGTGTAGGGATTTTGTTTGTCCACAAGAACGGATTTATTTTCAAGTTTATTGTTCTACATCAGTTTCATGTTCACTAATTTTCTTTTTGTTATATATTCCACCCTCTTAACCTTTCCGCGTTTGCTCTAGATTTCCCAGATAAATCAAAACCTCACAGTACCAATGATTCAAGAAGGAAGCAATGATCACATCAAGTCAATGCTTTTCCCTCAAATCAAGCATTTAATACTACTAAAAATGTGTCATTAAGGGTAATTTGGACTTTGCACTCCAAAAATGTGACATTTTTGCTCACAAAAGTGAAAATGACAATTTTTTTGGAACTTTTATTTTTTGTGACATTTTTGTAAATTCCCCTATAAAGTAACATAGATCAGTAATTAGCATAGATTGTTACAGAAATGTAGTACAACCTAAATTGATATATTAGAGAAGATACAAAGTATGAGGCACGACAACTCTTAGGTACTTTACTACTCTAAAATTGATTCCATTATCCAAACAACCAACCAAAAGTTAAAGAATTACTAAAAAAAAATAGTTGCTTTATTAATACATATTGATAAGACTGAAATATTAGCCCCTGTTTGTCTCCCTCTAAAACAAAGCTCTTTAATTCTCATACTCATTTTCAACCACACATTTACACGATAAAATATTTTGCATGTAACCCAAAATTTTTCCTTAATTTTAATCACGCATTCTCCAAAAAATTACTATTCAAAACTCCATTTTTGCAAACTATTGGCCTTCAAACAGGGGCTTAAATCACACTTGAGCCTTATATGGAGTTGAAGACTTTAATAACCTCTGATGTGAATAAAATTGGATTGGATGAGGCGGAGCCATTTCATGATCTTTATATGTATGTATTTCATGATTTGACTAGTACATTAAAATTGATTTAGACAAGAGGTGAAAGCTAGAGATAGCTAGATGTATAAATCTTTCAAAGAAGGAAGGGCTTTGCTTTTTGAGGGACTGCTTGTTTGTAAGTCAAAGACAGTAGTAGATAAGATGAGCGACAATCAAAGGGCTACAACATGTTAAATCAATTCCTATTAGATTTATTGAAAAATTCTTTGCCTTCCAAATGAAATGTTGGATTTTATGCGCAATATTAAAGAGAGGAAAAAGATAATCAACACAAGAATTTACGTGATTCGGCGGTGTGCCTACGTCCACGAGAGCGAAGCGGAGATTTCTTTATTAAGTAGTGAAAAATAGGATTATAATATATTATTTATACTAACCCTAGCCTGGGCCCATATAAGATTTTAAGGTCCGTACAGAAAATACCCTTGTACCCTACTGCGGGGGCAACCCATTCAGCGTCCTTAACAACCAGACAGTGAATTAAACCTGCACAAGGCCGATGCCGGCGCGGATCTTTGATCCAGGACCTATGTTCCACTCTATATGAGTCACATGCACAACATGAAACCAACAACCTTCTTTCCTGAGATTTCAATAATTGACACTGTAGCTTCGCATAACCACCACAAAATTTCAAATGAACCAATTTATTAAGCCCCTGTTTGATACCAATTAAAATCTAGATTTTAATCTAAATCAAAGTCAACAATTCATTTCAACCACATATTTTATGAGTTCCACAACTTTTCGACCACATTTTATCAACTTTTACTAAAATCTAATTTTTATCCCCACCAAACAAAAGCGAAAATTAACATGTATCCAATATCTTTCAACACATCAAAAACAAATGCAAATTCATTCCCTAAACAACAAAATTACTGGAAAAATTCCTTAAAGTAAAACCCAATAAAACCCATAGTAATTAAAATAAGAGAAGAATTAGCAACTTACCCATAAATGCCACCGGTATAAATGTTGAATCCACCATCCCACAGCTTGTTTTCACCAAGTATAAAATCATCACTGCAAGTTAAAAACTATGAAACTCGCTATATTTTACCCAATGGTTCGGTAAAACTACACTACTATATTTCACCAAATGGTTCACTAAAACAACTACTTGACTAACTACATAGCACATAAAGCTCAAGCATATAATTATATCGTTCAAATACATATAAAGTGTGCCTAGTGACACCAATTTTATCATCAGAGTCAGACACAATAAAAGTGGCTTCGACACAATAACAGTGGCTTCAACACTGGCTTTATAACTTAACAGGGCTCTCCTTCCAGCGTCACGATGTAAATTTCAGCTTTCACGAGAATCAGAATGAATAATATGATGATAATAAAAACTAAAGATAAAAAGAATAAAATATTGACAGAATACACCAAGACCTCATGATTGATCAAGACCCAACAATACCTCGTGATTAATTTGACGTTCACTAGTTGGGCTGCCCCAACTTTCTTCACTGTTTACTTGATTCATCACTGTAGACTTCACATCCCGTTCAAATTTGTCCTTTATAACTTCAATTTCTACAGTTGCAACATTTTTCATAAACCAAACATAACTACCATCCCTGACTCTTTTGTTATTCTTAGTAGCACCCTTTGCTGGTGGAAAAGCATGCTTGCCTTCACCTGTTGTAGTGACATTTTCTGTTTCAATGCCAATTTTTCTTTTCCTTTCAGAAGTATGCTTTAGAATCTTCTTTTGTGTACATTGCTGCTTCAACCTTTTCAATTAGACCAAGCAAAAAAGCTGATGTCTCTTTCCAATATCTAACCACGGCGTCACTTGATGACTTTCCCAAATCTGTCAAATCATGAAGCCATTTAATGGTATCTACATTTTCCAAAATTATTCCAGAATTTCTAGAAAGCCTTTCAAAGATGAGAGTAGTGATCTCGAGCAGACGGATGTACGCCATCTGGAGAAAGAAGACAAGTGAACATTAAAGGTATCCAAGTCCAAATTCAGCAAAAAATGAGATCAAACAACCAAATTACATTAGTGAACTCTGATTCTAATAATTTTTGTCAACGTGTCAATGATTAAAACTACAATGACGCCATCGGCTACTTTCCCAGGTCAAGGCAGAGAGTCTCCTAACAATTGGAAAAAACTAATGATCGAACAGGCAATTTCACTAGGGACAGAAACTGAACCGAATCGATAAGTCTAAAAGATAAAATTCTCACCGTCAAGAAGAGACCCACTGATGCAATATTATAAGAGATAGTATTTAATTAGTTTCATGTCGAAGTTGCCCTTGCCTAATCTTTTGTGTGACTCTAATGTTAGACTTTGATATGACTCTACCTCCACCATGTGATACTCCCCGAGTTGCCACATTTCCGAAGTTATTGTTCGTTCACACACTTTTCCTAGTGCTTTGTGCTTCTCGGGTGGATTCCGTGATAGCTTTTGTGAATGAGTTGTACATGTTGCTTATTAGAGTTCTTTATCGCTATTTGGCCAAAAAGAAATATCATCCCTCTTGGTCAATTCAAATATTTGGGATTGATATTTAAATTCAGTTGTTGTCACGTGATTGGCTACTTTATTTAGTCGGGAAGAAAGATTGTCCTCCTTGGTTAAGAAGTTGCAGTCGGAGTCGAATTTCCTTAGCCTGGGAGAAATAATGCAATATTATAAGAGAGAGGTATTTAATTTAGTTTTCAAGTTTAAAATTTATTTTAGGAATCATAATTATGATTTGATTTTATACTATTTTCCTATTTCAATTAGAACTAGTTTAAACCTTATATGGGGTAATTCAAACAAACTTTAATATATTAAATAAACAGATTTTCTCCCCTAATTTCCTTCTATTCTCTCACTCCTCCTCTTTTATCCCTCCTTTTTCCTCCTCTCCCCTTTCCCCTTCTCTTATGATTCTCTTATTGCATCCTGCGTCACCCACCTAAGAGGTGAGAGGAAACTTGTTCGAACTAGCCAACAAATAATTTATTTTCTTTTCTTGTGGGTAGATGCCAAAAGTAAGAAACTCCCCTTTCTCTTCTAACTATATGAAAACCATACTTTCCCCCATTTGGTAGAGATTTTTTGATAATAGATTTGAGAAAAGAGATTTCTTTAGAAAATTTGTGGTTTAAAAGTATAAAAAAGTTATGAATCCAAGTGCAAAATTATTTTATTGAAAAAATGTGTTGTTGATAACGAGATCTAGAAAAATGAGTTTTATAAAATGTAGGCAAAATAGGAGCTTTGAAAATTAAGATAGCGTAACATTTACATACTTCCAAACAAGGTTGTCAAGATGTATTTTTGGATCACATCAGTGTAGGGATCTTGCGAACCAAAGGTTGGATCAAATCGAGGATTCTAAGATTCTTAGTGAATATTAATTATTAATATACTAAACATAGATAAATGTCAAATATTCTTAGCCCTTGTTTGATCCCTATTATTTTCAAAATATATTTCTCTTTCTTCTTTTCAATTAAACATTTTTCAATAGAATAATATTACATAGAAACCTAAAATCTTTCCTTATTTTATAATGTTGTACATGTGGCTCATATAGAGTTAAACACAGGTTCTGGATCAAATGGGCCGATGCCGGCGCAGAGCGGAGTAGAGTGAGAGGAGTAGAGCGCATCGAACGGAACAGAGCGGAGTATTTCCTATACGGGCCTTAAAGTCTTATATGGGCCTAGGCTATGGTTAATATAAATAATATGTTGTAACTCTATTTTTTACTACTGAATAAAGAAATTTACGCTTCGCTCTCGTGGACGTAGGCATACCGCCGAACCACATAAATTCTTGTGTTGATTTTCTTTTTCATCTCTTTAATATTGCGCAAAAAATCCAACATATAAACAAAAATTCTCTATTAATCTACTACTCCAATATGCATTCTTAACAAAATAAGGGGCTCAAACGGGTGCTTAATAACAAATTAGTAACTATAACTAACTAAAATCAAACTACATAATCAAAGTTGCAACTACTTTATAAAGGTATACAAAAACATGAACTGTAGAGAAAGCGAACCAAACCAGAAATCAAAGCAGACTTCAATTTCAATTTGTTTTTAAGAACAAAATTTTAGTTGCAATTAATGTTTATGTAAAAAACTTATGAACACCAATCACCATGGATAATAACAATAATTACACAACCACAAACCATATGAACAATCATAATATTATGAGCCTAAAAAATCGAGTCCACTTATGACTAGTTTTCAACAAATCAATTAAGGTGCATTTGATTGCAAGCATGGAATTTACATTAAAAGAAAACTAAATCAATAAAACACGTTTAATTAATAATTTTCATACAAATAAGTTCTAGGCAATTAACCTAAAAAATATTATGCTTGTCCATTTTTTATTGATGAGCAGATGAGAAAGAGAAAGCGAATTCCTTGGAAAATAAAATCCTACTCCCTCTTAAAAATATATTTTCCTTGATTTTGAGGAAAATATGGTCACGTGACCAAAAGTAGGAAAATATTTTCATGAAAAATATCAATCAAACAGCACAAAAGTAGAAATTTGGGTGAAAAATACATTTTTCATGGAAAACATTGACAATCAAAGGCCAACATAAATGTTTAATTGGAAATGGACAAGCAGGGTTCAAAATGCATTCTATTTGCCACAAGAATTGAGGTTTTGATCAATATACAAATTATCATCGTACATATACTATTATCAAGTTGATTTTTATAAAATTGATTGTGACTTATCATATAAAATCAAGCCTAAAACTATAACATACTAGAGAAAACTTCGTATTTTAATTATAATTACTTTGCTTAACCATACTTCTATCACATTTCATAATCCGCTGGTTGAATCAATAGGCTGCCGATCCAATATTTCGACCAAGTCAATGAATTGGTCAAGTATGAAAGCGCAATATAAAGTCACTGCATATATAGTTTGGGGCCCCAAATATTCACTGAAAAAAGGTTGGAAGCCCAGGTCCAAATTTTTACTTGTAATAAATTCCTGAACTTATATGAGCGGAAAGAAGACGCGCGGTTGGAGCGCGTCATTGGAGAAACTGGCTGGTGGCCCAGAGTCCAAACCCCCCTCCAAGCCACCACGCGTCATCGCTGCCACAGGCTTGGACGGAAATCCAAGAATGAATTACTCTAATCCCAGCCTCCGATTCCAGTCCCCAGTCCGTTCACACCCCAAAATGCATACATAGACACACACACCCCAAAATGCATACATACACACATACATATAGAGAGAAGAGAGAGAACTCAAATCTGTATACAGTCAAATAGCAGTAAAGGCGAGTGATTTTACCTTACATGTTCCGTGCATCTTATCCCGGCTCTGTCTCCGTGCTTTTGATTGCGCTTTTTAGGCTAGAATTGCTCTCATATGTGAAAAATAAGTTGTTCTGAATTCTTTTTCTCCTTCACTTCAGATTCGGACCAGCATTCCAGCTTGTTGATTAAAGGACTGGTATGGTTCCATTTTTTCCCTCTTTTTTTGTTTCTGTTAAGCTGATTTGCTAATTTGATGAGTTCAATTAGGGTTTATTGAAATTGCACGAGTCTCGATTAGGGTTTTGTTTCTTCGTTTTTTTTTTTTTTTTTCAATGGAAACGTCAATAGAAATGCTCTGTAGCACCTGAGATGGATAGAGAACTGAGGGAAATGGTAGGAAATAAAGATCAAGGGCGATTTCAAAGGGGTTCAGGATCGAGAGGCCAGGGGAAAGGGGGGTTTTAGAGGGTTTTGCTGAAACCTTTGGTGGTGGAAAATTTTCGTATGCGAGGTTGCGGTATCGAAACTGGCTGGACTAGGCCCGGATCAGCCGAGTAAGTCCGGGTCATGGGTTTGTTCACCGGACTCTGCTTACTGTACGGACCCTGTACAGATCACGCTCAATGCATAGATGGGAGTGGGAGAATTTTTTTTTAAATAATCACCCACCCCCACCCACGCGCTCAAGCATGTGAGGATTCTGTACATCAGGCAAAATTCTTGTTCATCTTGTGTTGGCAGGCCCTGTCGGGATTCGAGTTTCGATAGGAGTGACAAAATTACTC